ACAGAGCTTTCAGGTACAAGTGGGGTGGAGGATGAGCACTTGCTTAACGCACAAGGAAAAGTTACAGTTCGGAGTATATACACAGTACCAGTAAATACCCAAACTGTATTATCTGGGTCCTGAGAAAACATTCCTCCCTATATTAAATAGCTAACTGAGCATGACTGAGCTACTCCGACACAATTCATTCTCCCTGTTCCATCCCTTCCTTCCCCAGATCTCACACTAACGGCCTGGTGCCCCACATATTCCCCGTAGGAAGAACTGACCTCCACTGACCTCCAGAGAGCTGACCTGCTCCAGAAACCCGAGCTCAGCGCAGGGACCAGTCCCACTTCTCCAGCGGGCACTCAGGCAGCTCTCCCAGCCCCAGAAGGAGACACCTGAGTATTCTGATGCCTGCCGCAGAGCGAGGTGCCAACAGCCAGCACGTAGCCCCACGCGGTCCCAAGCTGCAGCATTTTCACCCTGGTTACCTTCTCATACAGGCTATGACCAGTAACACCAGTCACTGCATCTGTGGACACTCTAACCACCCCCGGCTCCCTTGTTCCTACACAGAACCACGGGCTCTTGCCTTCTCGTGGCCACTACGAGATTGCTGCGTCTTGGCCCCTTGAGACACAGCAAGAGCTCTGGAATCACCCGAGGCACGTACCCCAGTTTGTCAGGCTGACCCTGTCTTTTGTGTGTGTGCCTCTGGCACGGCTAGACTGAAAATTCCACTGAGGGAAAACTGGGCAGAAGGAAAGCAAGAACTACAACTTTGATGCTGTGGGACCAGATTCTGTTTGGGTTTTAAAAGCTGGAATCTATAGCTACATATATACACGCATAAATGTGGTAGAGTAGGAATTTGATTGAAGGAAAACTTGTGTAGCTCATGCATTAGCTCTGGATTCAGCAATTTTTACACCTATACCTATCCAATTGCTTTAAAAGTTATGCACGTCCAAAAGGATCTTGGCAAATCAGGGGGCTGCTTTTAAATCAGTCCTTGAAAATCACTGCTCAGGAACAGTGACCGAGTTTGTTCCGTGAAAAGAGACATCTTCCTACAGAAAACAAGCAGGAAAGAAAGACGCTGTCCCCATGAAAGGAGTGGAAGTAAGGACTGCACTTCAAACACAGGTTACATTTCCTTCTGCGCAGGGTAAAACCTGCAATTTAAAATGAAATCCTGTTTTGCAGCTGTTCAGTGGGGGATTTCAGAGGCAGGTTCTGCCAGCCAGACCCCTTTTCCACATGAACGCTGCAGCAGTGGCTCAGCGCTGCCGTGCTCAGGTGCTTCCCGCCGTGTGCTGGGAGCTGGAGGAAGCGCGGCAGCCCTCTTACCGCCAGGATGCGACCTCCGTTACGCCAGAGGCAGCCCAACGCGCAGGTGAAGCACAGGGAAACAGATGATAAATGAACAGTCAGGACCGTCCTGCATCGTGATTCTTGTCTCTCAGACCAGACTACCACCCTAAACCTAACCACAATCCCAGGCATGCTGCAAGAGAGAACATGGGATCTTCCGAGGAAAAACACACTTGGAAACTACTGTGTTTTTCCAGGACATACTGTGAGCAGACACACTGAAGCAGATCTTCTATGTGCTTGGTAACTGACTTGTATGCGATGAACAAAGCCCCGTTTCCTATTGCTGGTGAATCTGTTCTCAGAAAAACCCAAACCAAAAAACCCCACCTCTTGTTCCTGGTGGAAGGAAAGTCACAGAGAAGCAGGACGTGCAGACAGTTAGCCTCCAGGATTAACCAGGGACAAAGCAAGCCGGAGAAAAGAGCAGAGTTCAGTTATGCTCTACACTGTCACTAATGGCAGTTGAATTAGGTCCAGCATTAGTAGAGAAGTGTAGCTCTCCAAAGCACTGGTAGAGCAAACACCGTTGCCATAACTACCTCACTCCCAGAAGCACGCCAATTTAATTTCTCCAGTTAAATATTTACAGAGTAGATTGCATGTTTTCAGGAGTTTCAGAAGCTGCTCACAGCATGCAAATGTGCAGTGCTGTCCTCTGGGTCCTCGCAGAGGATTGTGTCACCCCTCACCCCTGGCCTCATCGCTCCCTGCACACCTACATGTGTGCTGGGAAGGCACACGGCTGCCCCGAGAGGGAGGAGAAGCCAGGAGCCGAGGGTCCCACGGCACAGGCTGGGCAGTGACTGCCCCACCAGGACACAGTCCCCAGCGCCTGAGCAAGGCGGGACGGTGACAGGCACGGGACAGCCCAGGCATCTCCTGACCACACCAGGCAAGGGGTCGGGGACCAGGTCAGCTGAGTCTGGACGAGCAGAGGGGACACGGCCGTGCCTGTGGCACAGCTTCGGCCAGGGCTGGGGACTGGCCTGGCTGTAAGTGGGGCTCTTGGCCATGGGCAGGGGTCCCGGCAGGCCAGTGGGGCAATCAATGGCACTGCCCTTGCACCAAACTGCTCTGATATGCTGCTACCAGCCATCACCCACATCACCCCAAAACACTGTAAACTTCAATTCCACTTCAGCTATTTAGGACTGCAACAGTCTGTATCTGCTGGAGTCGTCCAAACGTCTACAGAACCACTGAATTCTTTCATCCTGTTTTTGCTTCATCCCTCTCACAGCTCTGACACTGAAGAAAATTGTACATAAAGAATCAAGACAAAAACAGGCCTGCAAAGGTCTTACTGTGAAATCCAGTCTAGATCCATGGAAGTGGATCCTCTGCAATACCCGGTAGAATAGCATCTTTTGGATATCTAACCTGTTCCTAAAGACTTTCAGCAATGAGAAACAGCATGGTCGCCAAGAAAACGTATTCTTCACTATCTGTACCCTTAAAATACTTGTTAAATCTGAAACTGCTTCTGGTACTCCATGACTTAGCGTTTAAGTACGGGCTCAGATGCAGGACAGTGCTTGAAGTGAGCGCACGGCCAGTTGACACGGCTTGTGGGCTGCAGACAACAACTGCCGTGATGGTGTGCTCGCACGTCGCTGCCCTACGTACAGCCTCCATCAACACGCTGTGACAAGAATTATGGGCGTGTATAATGGTTATCCTGCCCGACGCCGTTTTGTCCCTTAGGAACAATGACATGCAGAGTCACTTTTAAGATGAAGCCCTGCAATTACACAAATTTTTAGGGTAGAAACTTGGTAGCTGTCTCGCTTTCATGTAAATAATGCATCACAAAAACCTATAGTTAAGCTCCGTAGGAAGGAGTGAAGAGTGTGACGTCAGGGATCCTACCTAAAGCTTTCACTCTCTACACTCTTCTGCTCCAAGAAGGTACCCAAATGCCAGGAAATTCTCACCCAGAATACAAGTTCAGTTTGGCATCATCAGTCAGAGGATACCGCCACGGCACCAGGGGATTTAAGAGAGAAAGTATGTTTACCTTGAGGGACGAGCACGTTACTTGGAGGCATATGGCAGTCTGACTTGAACCTTGCCAGGTGCTCCCTTGCCTGTTGGGTGCTGACTACTCCAAACAGGTTCCCGTGGGAGTTATCTTAAATTAAAACTACATTCAGTCCTAAGAAACAAGTGTTATTTATTAAAAATAAAGTATCTTGAACATACTTTCAAGAGCATATATACACATACATAGAGACACTATGGCTTTAATCTTTTGGACTTAAAAACAGGCTTATCTCTACAATCTTAGAAATTAAAAAAAAGGTAGTGTTTTAAACTACAGAAATCACACATCAGCAAAGTCAGACCTCAGCAGTAACATTTACACCATTACATTTGGTGTAAATTTCAAGGCAAACAAAACAGTAAACCAGGCTTCAATAAAACCATCATTATTTTTAAAATGTATGTTCTAATTAAATAAAAATAATCTTAGAAGATTAAAAATGATTCTGCTATGGGTTGGACACTACTGGAGAAAAGAAGCAGGCTGTCATGCTGGGTTACCTGAGGGGTTGAATTCACATTTCCTTAGAATACTACCATCAATAATTATTACTCATTGTTCACTCCAGTCATAACCCAAACTTGTACATTGATTAGTACAGAAACGCCAACTGTTCATTTACTTGGTTCTTGATTTTAGCGGGATTCTTAAGAGTAAGGAATGTGGGGCTGGATCACTAAGTGCTGATAAAATTAAAATATTTTAGACTAGCTTAAGAAAAAAGGAAGAAAATCTCCATCATGTGCTTCTACTGAAAGGTCTCACTTGTCTGCGCATGACGTACCAGTGACATTCAGAACCCAGCAGAAGAGGTGCTACATTCCGAAGCGGATTGCAGGAGTCCAAGCAGGCTGCCGGCCTTTGAGTACAGCCAGTGCTAAGTGTTTACATCTACTTAATGCAGCGCCATGAGAATCCTTCCTTTGGACAGCCACATCCCCCAAAGAACTAATCCTAGTATATATGCCAAGCACGGCGGTCAGACATCGACCTCTTACGTGATAGCGAAAGCCCTAAATGGCAAACCAAACAGCTCTTGCTCTAGACTGTTCCACCTTGGGTTTAGACATATCAATAATGCTTCATTCTTCTGACACAACTCTCAGATATATTTAATGTATTTTTCTGAGAAGAATAAACTAAACCCAAGCTTCCTAATGAGGTAAGTCAGATTCTCTCCACTTGAAAGCAGAAATTGAGGCACAGTACAGCTAAGTCCGTGACACTGCTTGAAACCAGTCCTCCTCCCAGTATTTTATGCTAGACACACATAAAAATGGATGAAGTAATAGAGATATGCAGATGGATCGGTACTCCTATCAAAACAGATGAACTTCACCTGTAAGCTTACTTCATTCTGTGGAAACACTGGCCAAAAAAACAGGTCCTGATAAATGCAGTATAATAAAGTCTGAAAAGGAAACCAAAATGATAATGGTTTTATAAAAACCTGAGATGAATCCTTGATGGACTTAATTCATTCGGTGAACAGCATCCCAGAGACTTCTAAAAGCCACGCAGCGTGGGATCATCTGCTGAGAGCGTTAGACTGAGGCTGACGTCGCGTCTGATAGAGGGGCGGTTTGGAAAGCATTCACTGTGCTGGCTGCAAAAACTCCGACGTGAACACAGCTTCTGCGTAATCCTCACAAACATCCTGCAGCTCTGCTGCCACGTCACACAGGGCTTCCTCCGTTAGCTGCTCTGCAAGACTGGGGGAGAGGGAGGGGAATAAAGAAAAGAAAAGATTCCAAATGTGAGATTTCAAATTCCGGTCATTCATGCCATTGATATCAATGCTCTGATTTGAGAAAGCAAATAGTAAGGTTTTTTATTCTTTCTACTGGTTATATTGATATATGTTGTATAAGATACCAGAAATTCTTTCCTCAGTCTGGTTCATAGCAAAGGACATACTTCCGGCTTAAAAGTGTGGGGAGATCTGTTACTTCCTTTTGCAAACCCTTAGATACTAATCTGCTTTGGGAGTAAGAGTTAACATACTACGGTGCTCACCCAAAGGCCTCTGAGGTAAATGGGAAGCTTCTTACTGATTGTACCTGCCACTGACTCAGGCCTTACTGACAGCAATAAAGTTCAAGGAAGAGTGAGACGAGACATTTCAATTTTCAGTGATCTCTGGGCCACAGCAGATGTTGCGGAAGGCAAAACTATCCTACTGTAAGAACACAGTGGTTTACTGGCCTCTTGAAAACTTCTGTCCAGTTTTGCATATAATCTAATGTACCATAAAGTTAATCTTTCTAAGACCTTCTGGGCATAGCATGGGAGTGTTTCTTTCAAACGCTGTGTACTACTGTCTTATATAAAAATGCCCTCCGGTGGTAAGGATAAGTCAGTGAGCCTGCTGGGTATCAGACGGCACTCGTGGTCTGGTCTCCAACAGGCAAATGGCAGCAGTGGGATCCAGCTGTCCGGAGGAGATGCACTGCCCTTCAACCCACCTGCCAGCCCCAAGAAGGTGCCACTCCTTGAACTACCCAGCCTCAAGCCAGTTACAACAAGGAGCACAGTTCAGCGGGCTGCATGACAGCACTGAGAACTGACAGGGCACATTCTATAGGATCACAGAACAGTTTGGGTTGGAAGGGTCTTTGAAGATCATCCAGTTCCACCCCCCCTGCCATGGGCAGGGACACCTTCCACCAGACCAGGTTGCTCCAAGCCTCATCCAGCCTGGCCTTGGACACTCCCAGGGATGGGGCATCCACAGCTTCTCTGGGCAACCTGTCCCAGTGCTTCACCACCCTCTCCGGGAAGAACTTCTTCCTGATATCTAATCTAAACCTCCCCACTTTCAATTTAAACCCGTTACCCCTTGTCCTGTCACTCTCTGCCCTTGTAAAAAGCCCCCCCCAGCTTCCTTGTAGCCCCTTCAGGCACTGGAAGGCGCTGTAACGTCTCCCCGGAGCTTTCCCTTCTCCAGGCTGAACAAGCCCAGCTCCCAGCCTGTCCCCATGGCAGAGGGGCTCCAGCCCACACTTCGGTGGTTTAGCTCAGCAGATTCCCACACAGTGGTCTAACCACAGTTATTCAAACATTTCCCTACTTATCCACCGTTGGGCAAACCATCAACACACGGGTAACTTCACGCATGCAAGTCATCTCAAATATTGCAGGACGTGTTCCTGGAAACACTGAGGGAGACGCCAAATGTTACTCAAATGAGCTGTATCACTGATTTCTGTGCCACTATGTTAAAAATGTGTGCAGAAGTTAAAAACTCTTGGCAACCAAGCCTGGTGTCCAATCTGCCAATACAGACAATTATGGCAAACCATCCCACCTACAGCCATGGAAGTTAGATTCCGTAACTAACTCCTCCCCACTCCTTTCCTGAATAAGGACAGAAAAACCTGTTTATCAGCTGACACATTCACTTCAAAACCACAAAGACAGTCCACATACCTCTCAGCAATCTGCCATGGATTGAAACTGCCTAGTGCCTCATGGGAAATAAGCTTCAAGTGCTGCTTGTATCTGCTGTTATAATCCGAGATTCTCTGGAGCATATGCTTTGGCACAGAGAGAGACACACAGCACCCTTTCTGTAGGGAATTCCGTGTCAAGGGCTGCAGAATGTCGTCTCCAGTCTGCAATTTCTCCTCTGCTTCTTCGTTTTCATCAATATCACTGGAAATACAAAAGAGTCATTAAGCTACAGCTACATTTTCCAGTGTCTTTTTGAAGGATCAGAAAATCTTTTCGAAGAGGAGCTGTAATTTTCTGTAAGGAAGACACTGTGCTGGAGACACGCAGCTCATAGGCACCACAGTTTAGTGTAGGGCCAAATATGCTACTTACTTCCCATCAGAAAGTTTTTCAAATATAAAGTCCATTTTTGGCTCGGTGTGCCCGATTAATTTGGTTATCTGAATTGGATGAGGAGATACAGGTCGTTCAGCTATTGATGCACTTTGTTCTAGAAGGAAGAAAATAGCATTTTAAATTGTTCCTTTGGAAGACAAAAACTACATTTACTGCAGCTAGGATCTCAAAAAGACTTTGGCTTCTTTCAAGGGGAAGTCCTCTAGATAAATAAAGTATTACAAGCCCCTAAAATGTAAGTTAAATATTGAGCCAAGACCTCAATTAAAGCTGAGCATTTCAGAAATCCTACCTTTCGTATAAAGTTTGTTGTGTCAGTGGATACTTCTAGAGGAGAGAGAGAAAATACCACTCTAACACTAGCATACTCTATTAAGCTTGGCAGCAAATCCAAGACATGGGAAAAAAAAAAATCCAACAAGATTTGGGCTAAGACTTCACCAGTTTTATCGTGAGATTTTCCAACTGATATAAAACAACACAGTTCCATTGAAGGCAGCATGTGAGCAGATACTCAGCTTGGAAAATCACCGCTGTACTCAATCAAATTGTAGGATAAAGAACAGAGCAGGGCTTGGAAAAGTGGCCCTAGGATACCTCAGACTTGGACAGTAAACACGCTGCCTTCTGAAGTAATTCAGGTAGCTTACAGACAAATTGGAGAGTACGTACTTATGGAATATCATCTTCCCTGCCAAAAATCCTTACTCACGTTTTGGCAGAACAGCAAATACCTAGGCTAACCAATGACAAACCCCTAGAAAAGGGACAACGTTCAAACGTAACGCTGGATGATTTGTATGTGTTAAAGATTCCTGTCCTTCAGCTAAGTTGCACCAGCAGTGCTTTCCATGGAAGTGCAGCCCCAGGAAAGGCAAGTGGAAAATGACAGCCTGTTCTCAGAAGAGACCCTTCCTCTTTCAAATAGTGGGCTTAGAACTACATTTTAGAAACAGTCCTCTGAAAGGAGCACCTAGAGAAAAAAAAAAGAAAGTGTGGATGGTGCTATTTGATCGCACATAATCCAATGATTTTGATTTCCAAACATCTGAATTTAAAGATACAGATTACAAGAAAAGCAAGTTGCATTAAGACGACAGTTACCCATTTTGTCTTCCTGGGACAAGAAATCCGAATCAGTGTACACAATCTGGGTGAATCTCCTACGGACAGCCTCCTGGTACCTCTGGTGTTGAACACACAAAATGAATCAATCAACACATCCTGCAGTTCAGCTAACAGGAAAGCAGGTCATGATCCTCCCCGGTGGCAGAAGGCTTATTTTCCCGCGTTACCATAACACAGAAAAGGGGCAGAAAGGTGAAATCCCAGAGAATCATCTCATTCGAAAGCCCAACACTCCAAGCCTCAACTAGTTGCCAGCACCACAGCAACAACTGACGGGCCCTCAGGCTGCTCCTGCCTTACCGGCCGTTTGCTGAGGTGCCTCACACGGATAAGGACACTGCAGAACGTAAGCTTCACTCTTCCAGCTTATGGACAGAGCCCTACAAGTAAACGGTCACCAAAAGCGATGACAACTTTCTCTGTACGTGAAGGTTGGAATGAGACTTGAGCCAAACACTACGGAAAAGCTGATCAGAGACAAATTTTTAAGCAAGTAATCTATGAGCAAGTTCAAGTCAAGTAAATGATAAATAACCCCATGAACATTTACAGAGCAAGACGGATAAATAAGGGCACAGATAACCATGCATTTCTGACTTTCCCTATGCTGCCTTGTAAAATATTTTGGATTGCCAGAGCATATTTCCTTGAGATGATCATGTTAGGAGAATACTAGGATCTTAGGTCACAAGAAAATAAAAGTTCATAAATCTTAAAATACTTCCCAACCTGTGAGAAATCCACACACTCGCCATACTGATTCTCCCATTCACACATGATGATCTAAGCCAAAGTCTTGAGGTGGGAAGCAAACTCAGGCCTACCAACTCCAAAGCTAGCAATAAAACCGTTAGGGCAAACGTTCTTCTATTACACATTTTACTGGAAGAGCAAACTCCTTCCAAGTCTTTCATTTCATACACTGATCCAATCAGACCTTGCTTCATTTAAGGATGTAGATATTTACAGATATTACCATTTATGGGCAGCAAACATGAAATTGGCACTAACAGACCAACTGAGAGAGAAAAATCTTACTTCAATTTCTTCCATTCTCTGCAACATTGACTCCAGACTGTGAGTGTCAGCCACAGGCAGAGCCGCTGTCTGGAGTCCCTCATGCTGCTCCATACTCCACAGTTCCTGAGCAGTATCTTCCAAAAGATCATCCAATAGCTTTTCACACAGAATATCTGCATTTGCAGCAACCTGCTACTTAAAAACAAACAAAACAAACAAAACCCACAAAAACCCACATGGTCAATGCAAGAAAGAACGAGAAAACCCCCAAAACAACTGAAGAATGCTTATGAATCAAACATTTCTTACAGCAGCTGATGGAAATAATCCAGTGGTCATTTCAACTGTTCCCTTCATCCAAGTAAATTCCTGGTTTCCTTCCTTCCACCCACCCAGTAAGCCAAAGCAATAAAAACAGCTTAGTACGCTCCTACCAATAAAATCAATGAATATGGAAAAAGCTTGCTGCATGACTATGCTCCCATATTGAAGACGAAACTGTCACAGGATCAGAGATCACCCAGGAACTCAAGAAAGTAAGCGAAGGCCCTCCTCTTACCAAACACTACTCACACATTTAACTGTTCGCACAGAACGGTCTCACAGCAGCTCCAGGTGGCAAGAAGTAAATGCACAGGCCCAAGTGCATCCAGGCCAAAGCCTTCGGTTGTGCCCAACGTTACCAATTAGCCATGCTACGATATCACTATTCATCTCCCTGATTAGCCTATGTGAAAACATTTTCCCCCTAAGCAGCATTCAAGGTCAAATCAAGCAAAAAATACAGAAAATAGATGATGTTAGAAAGAGCTTTCTCATTGTTTCCTGCCGCACATGGTTACAAAAGAATGCCTGTACAAAGACACGGTTTTAAGGGTCTGGCTTATCTAAGCAGAAATTGCTAAGTTGGGGAAACCAGTACTACTTTTCCAGACCCATTCTGTTATATGGCAAAGATAAAAATTCATCTTTAATGTCAAATAGCTTTTCTCTATGACATGCAGATAGAACATACCCTCTCAGCTGCATGAGTTAAAAGGTGGTTTATAAATGGATTCTTCAAATGACAGTTTGTTCCCAAGGAGATAAATAAAACTTAAATCCTCTCATGATAATCAAGTTTTCTCTACTACTATTATTTATATTATTATCTATACTCACGTTACTACTCCGAATTTATTTAGTCATTACGTATGGTACTATAGGCATTATTAAAATAATCTTATCAAGTCCAGTCATGTTCAGCGTGGAACTGTTACGGCCATTCAAAAAATGCATCTGCTTGACAAGAAAATATTTCATACTGCTTTGCCAAACTTCGTTCCAATAATTCAAGACCCCCATACAGAAATGGAAATACACTCTCCAAATGACCAAAACTGTGTTGACTACGGAAATATGACTTGTATTATGTTGAAAAAAAACTGTGTGTTGCCCCATTACAAATGTTTTACAGCTCTGAAGGCGTCCTTCCAACAGTGGCATGAACTTGAGTGTACTACCTGTGTCCTGTCTAACGGAGGTTCGGAGTGCTCCTGCGCTGCCTTCTCAACCGTGCCTGCATACCGGGCTGCAGAAGCACTTTGTGACCTACGCAAAACAGGACAAACGGCAATGCCATTCTGAAACTGGGTATGAAAGCAACCATTTAAAGAAACTCACACACATAAATGTGCTTTTGGGGGGACTGGTGGGAGTGGGGAGAAGACCACATCAGATCTGACACCATTTATGAGCTCTTCAGAGTAAGTCACTACCTCAACTGTTGTACGGTCTCTGTTTGTCCTCTGCTACGGTCAGCTAGAGCCTTCACCCTCTGCGATGTTTCTGCTTCAAGCCCTGCTTGTCTTCAACAACACAACAGTAACACAGAGGGTTACAAAAGGCACATTCTGAAGAACGAAATCATGTGATTCTGAGCATTAGTCTAGAAAACTTGCAAAAAAAATTTAGAGAAAATGAATACTGACTTTAAGATACTGACTTTAAACCTATATAAGCCAGGAAATCCTGCTGAGAACCAGGAATCTTCAATTACGTTTCTGCTACTGGCAAACAGGCAACTTCATGGCAATCCACAAATACTGCCTGGAGAGACACGCTCTGTACGTCACCACGCACACTGCCCAGTACAGATCCAGCAGCTGGATCAGCAGTTGGGTCCCCTGCTTAAAGCGCCACAAGCAGCAGCCCCACAGCAAATGAAATTTGGGAAGCCCTGGGGTGCAGGATGCTGCAGGTAGTTCAGAATAAACAAACCTGCACTCTATTACTGACTAGGAGAAAGGTTTATATTTTGTCCTTATGGAAGAGAGAGATAATATTTACCTTCCTAAGGCAGTGCTGTGACTATCCATTCTGCAGACTGTGTTTTGTCAGTGCCCTGCCTAGCACACTTGGCCTGCGACTCCCAGGCAATAATTGGACCATCCAGGAAAAATCATAACGCGATGGCTCTTCCCAGGAATGAGGCCACTTTGTGCCAAGTGGGAAAAGAGCACGAGTGTCTGACAGTGAGCTGTGCCGTGTCCTGTGCCTTCACGGTCTGACAGCCAGGCCAAATCCACCCTATTTCCTAGTGCAGATCACGCCCCGTTTCCCCGGGCAAGCAGGGTGCAGGCGGGTTGGGGTAGGCTGGGAACGTACCTCTGCGGTGAGAGCGCGGGAGATGCAGGGCGTGGAGGCATGCGGGGCATTCTGCTCTCCTTAACAAGCCGTTTGTTCTCTTTTAGCTGGAAAGCTATAGTTGTCTCCTGAAATCGGGCATGCCTCCCTTGAGGCTGTAACTGTCTTGATTTGAGAGATTTTGGCATTCCCTTAAAATTAACACAGTCACGTTAGAAACATATATATTCCAGCTGTTGAATTTTTAGTGTGTTTTGCGTTCTGCTTCAGAGTTTGTCTGGAAGTTGTGCCTGCTGGCTTTGTTGCACAGCTGACATATGTGAGGGTTTTACAACTGATTGAAAGCGAAGTACAACTGTGCCTGAACAGAACATATGCTTAATCCCGCAACTATTATTTCTGCAAACAGTTCCAATTTTTCCAATATTGATCTTCACAGGGAAAAACACTTGAAATTTTCAGAATTAGGCTCTATGTTAGCTGTTAATAAATCCAGCTAGAAGGTTTCCAAGGTAAGGTTTTCTTCAGCCATGAAACTAGAAGACAGCCACATTCGTATTTGCTACAAAGCCACTTTGACAAGGCCCCTCAGTGCAAATTCCTGAAACACTTAACCCTCCTGCCCACAATCCTCACCAACTGATATGGGAAGCAGTAAAAGCTACATATGCATACATCTCTGTTACTGTATCCGATGTGTGATGGTGTTTTACCTGAAGGGGCTACAAGGAAGCTGGGGGGGACCTTTTACAAGGGCCTGTAGTGACAGGACAAGGGGTAACGGCTTTAAATTGAAAGTGGGGAGGTTTAGATTAGATATCAGGAAGGAATTCTTCCCGGAGAAGGTGGGGAGGCACTGGGACAGGTTCCCAGAGAAGCTGTGGATGTCCCATCCCTGGAAGTGTCCAAGGCCAGGCTGGATGAGGCTTGGAGCAACCTGGTCTAGTGGAAGGTGTCCCTGCCCATGGCAGGGGGGTTGGAACTAGATGATCTTTAAGGCCTCTTCCAACCCAAACCATTCTGTGATTCTATGATCTGATTTTTCAAGCCAAAGGTGATAGTCTGAGGAGGGAAAACAACCACCTCAGAATAAAAAAAATTGTGAGGAAGTGCAAAGCTTGACAGTGACTTACATTACATAACAAATCCCAGAGGACAAGTAGAATAAAGCATAAATTCATTTATCACTTTCATACCTTTGATTTTGCAGGTAATAACACACCTTTCTTCTTCAAACGCCCACTTTCCCGGATGGGATCTTTTTTTACAGCTTTGGCTCTCACCAATGCATCAATGCTTCCTTGTAAAGTGGCATTTGTCTCTGGAGTAGGTGGGTCATTTTCTTCTTGGGATTTATTGTGCAACACATGAGCACAACTGTTTGCCCTCTGAACTGCTGAAATATTTGCAACATGCCAATGTTTATCTGTACCAAAAATAATAAATGAACTTTCAACTGTAAGTTGAAAGGGGCAAGAATCATCTTTATTTCTACATTTAATACTTCCGTTATGCTAGGCATACCTAATCATGAACTTCTAAGCTCTACCGTAATTAAAATAAAATTAAAAAGAGGAAACAAACTCCCCTTGTATTTCCTGACAAGCATTAAATAGATTGTCTTTCTCACACTGTTGGAACGAACAGGAGATTTTGGGGTTTGTGTGCATATAAGTATTTGTATGTGTTTAAATATTTGAAAATACACAAGTATATTACAATCACGGGAAAGCCTTTGGTAGTAACTGCCACCTGAGGTCAATGTTAACAAAACATTCATTTGTACGCAGCAAGACACATGGAAACCATCAGATGCTTGTCAATATACTGTCCCTCTGGACTGCCGAAGATTAATTCATCTCATGGAATTCTTCTCGCCCTTATCTAGGGGCAGAAAGGAATACTTACTCTTCTAGTAAAAACCAGTATGAGGTATGAGAAAGACACCCCAAAGAAGAAAAGCAATTAATACAGGTTAATAACGTAATAACCTGTAATGGCTTTCATGAGGTGTCAAAATACTTCAGGTGGTAAATTTATCTCCCAACACCTTGAGAGAGAAAAAAGCCCATGTCCTTTCATATGTGAAGTAAAAAAACAATAAAGTAAACCAATTCCCAAACATTGCGTGGCAAACTAGTAGTGAAAAAAATCCAAAGTCTTCAACTTAAGTTGTCTCTAGATACTGAAGCCATGATCAGTCTGCAGAAGATACTAATATTAATGAACAGTTAAGGATAAAACACAGCCACCCCTCCTCAAAGCAGAGAAACTGCACAAACCAAGGCAATTCTGAGCCAAGGCTTCAGTATCTTTTCACTGTAAACAGTTCAACGAGGATAGCTTTGTTGGAGATTTGCTAACAGCGGCTTTGCATTCCAAAATAATGTATTTATGCAGTATTATCCAGATAGATATTTAGAAATACTCTGTATGCACCATTAACATCAACTTGTGAACCGCCATTCAGGTGTACACTGCAGAAAAACAATCCAGGTGTAGCCCGCCGTAAAAGAAATGGACAAAAATAGGAAGAACATGATAATAATATGAAGATGCACATAAACCTGCAGGTCTGTCATCCCAGGGGAACAGCTGGAAAACGTGCATAACAAGGCTCTGTGAATCTGGTAACTACAGATGGGCTGTTAGACACTTCTGACCAACGATACATAAAGTACTACAAAACTGAGCTGCAGGTGGCAAGTTAACTGATAAAAACGTATTTGATAATCCAAAATACAAACCAGTCAAGAGACTCTGGGCCACTGGAGGTTTTCTAGGTTCTTCTCCATGCTGCCCCTTTAAGATGAGAGGTTTGTTTTCTCTCTTTGCAGGTGTAAGCTGCTCTCTGGCTGGAAACGTCTCAGTGGTCCTTGGAGATCTGCCCTGAGATGCTGAAATACATTTCTTCACTTTTTTGGGTGTTTGTTTCTTTTCCAGCAGTGAATCCAGATCCTAAACCAAATATTTAGAATTTTAATTACTCTCTCAGTAAACTTGATGGAATAATGAGAAACAAATTCAAGAGATTCTAAGTAGTTGGAATGTTTTTGGTGTGGTTTGGTTCTGTTTTTTGTGGTAGTGATTATTCCTGATAGCTTGTTCAAGCAGAAACTTCTTCATATTATTAACTTAAATCTTACGGAAAAGGCTTGTATTTTTGTATTTACATTTGACTCCAGCGAATTATCTGCTTACAGCATGTTCAAAAAGAAATGGAAACAAAGACTACAGACCAAAAAAACATACAAAAATGCCCACGTGACTATGGTAAGACAGACAGACACTTCTTCCAAAGCTAAGTCCAAACTCCAACAATTCTACCTCCTTTCCTATTCCCAGGCAGTCAGCACTGTTACTGTTCTCATAAGCAGTTCAGAACAGTGAAAGCAAAGCCACAGCTCTTATGGTTAAGACAACAGTTTAAGGAAAATAAAATATCTTACGGCTATTGTATCAACGGCTTTTATTCAAATTCATTAAATACTGGTTTCATAATAGTTCAGGTTCCACAGGTTCTTACTTAAAAAGAATAATCTTGCAGGTAGGAACTGGAGCAGGAAGCATGAATCAGAACTTTTCTATTATACCAACAGCCCGTTTTAAGAGATCAGCTATCACTAGCAAAAGCCACTTGAGGGCACAGAGCTCAACTACCTCTTACAGCTACAACTTTATTGTCCACCCGGGCAATTCTGCACCCACCACCACGCGTCAGACTCCGATGCTCACCACTAATCCTGATGACTAAAGCATGTAATAAACAAGTAATTTACACCAATGTATAAAATGCAATTCTTTCAGTCCTGAAAACGGCAAACAAATCAGAAACGGGTGCTTTGTTACCATCCTCACTACCAGACCTCATTCTACCAAGAGCCGATAACGACAGGAACAGCATCAGGAGGAGCAGCAGGTAGCTTCCGTGTTTAGGATGCAACTCTGCTTTAGACGACCATTATTTAGGAACATTAGGAACATATTTATACACTAACAAATATGTCCTGTAAAGAAAACCCCTACAGTAAGATATTCTGCCCTTTCATGAACACACAATATCATCTGCAGCCTCACATTTCACTAGATCTTTTCTGCCTTAGCAAAAACAAAATGGTTTTTCCTACCTCAACTTGCAGCAAAATATCTATGATAATGTCAGAAATGGAAGAATCCAGTTCTAGCTTGGCGGAACAGAGAGACAGTTGTCGAATGAGACTGCCCAGTTCCTTGTAGTGGGTAGGAATCTGCTGCTCTGTTTGATCTGTAACCTGATTGGCAAATGCCTGCAAGGCTCGTACAGCTCCTCGGTGTGCTGCCGCCAGCCTGGACACTGCTCGAGACTGGAACAACGAGAAATAAACGCTTTAATAGCTACAGATTATATGAATGCTGACACCATTCAAAGAACTGTTGCCAAAATTTCATGGAGAAACACTCAGGCTTGGGATAATTCTGATGGATTTGAGGCCATTTGTGAGTCAAAACAAAACAGGCACTTAAATAATCGACTAAAGGTACTACACAACTGTACTCACATTGAGTATCGTGCTAGTTCAAAGAAAATAGCCTGGCTGTAACCTACTCTGATGTTTCTACTACCTACACAAACACCGCATTGTTGGTCGTGGGCTTGACCCTGACGTGCAACAATTGCACAGATGCTGAACATTCTCCATTCCCCAGTTTTTGTTACTGAAGAAAATAGGAGTGATGGAGAAGCACAACAGGACAACATTGGCCAAACAGCCGGCACGATCTCAGAACTATCCTTCTGAAAGATGCTGGGCAGAGAAGAAAATCGGAAAGGAGGCTGATAAGACTGAGTGACATCAACAGGAAGTCAAAAAAAGGAGTCAAAAGTAGAACACAATGTTATTCAGAAATGGAAGTGGAATGAAGAAGGAATTAGAAGCCACATAAAAGCAAGTTGGAGTGAGTCCAGAGGAGGCCCCGGAGATGCTCCGAGGGCTGGAGCCCCTCTGCCATGGGGACAGGCTGGGAGAGTTGGGCTTGTTCAGCCTGGAGAAGGGAAGGCTCCGGGGAGACCTTATAGCACCTTCCAGTGCCTGAAGGGGCTACAGGGAAGCTGGGGGGGGCTTTTTACAAGGGCCTGTAGTGACAGGACAAGGGGGAACGGGTTTAAATTGAAAGTGGGGAGGTTTAGATTGGATATCAGGAAGAAATTCTTCCCAGAGAGGGTGGGGAGGCACTGGGACAGGTTGCCCAGAGGAGCTGTGGATGCCCCATCCCTGGAAGTGTCCAAGGCCAGGCTGGATGAGGCTTGGAGCAACCTGGTCTGGTGGAAGGTGTCCCTGCCCATGGCAGGGGGTGGGACTGGATGATCTTTAAGGTCCCTTCCAGCCCAAACCATTCTGTGATTCTATGGATTCCTGTTTACTCTAGACAGAGAAGAACTGAGGGGAAGAGGGAAGCAGCAAAGATTAGCGCAAGTGAGACATAAATCTATGAGAATGAGATGAAAGGTGCAAGATACAAAGAACATCTCCCTTCTGGAGAGGGCTCGGGTGTACCCTGGGCAATCAAAATCAATTCACTAGAAATTCCTGTCAATAACTTACTCACAGCCAGAAGGATAATTACCTCTTACCTTTTTAGTATGTTTGATTTTATGAGGACTCAGTTTCTCTAAATCATTCTGAATTTCTTTTACCTGTTTATCAAGAAGGAGGGGAAAGTCAGTCAGAACTAGCTCTATACCTATGAATGAACAATTAATCTTCACTGTAACATCTGAGCGAAGGTGCAAATTTTCCAGTGGTGATGCTCATCTCTCTGTCCAGTCATGACAGAAATAAGTCACACCATTCAGGTCTAAACTAGAATGCCACGAAGTTCAGAGACAACCTGATCAAATTTCTCTTACTGCAGTTCATTTCGGTAAAATTCATCACAATAAAGCAGGTACTATACATCCCAATTTAGAATGCTGGTTCCTACCTGTTGCTGGAACACATACAGCATCCGAGCCGACCGCGCCGCTTGTTTCTGTCTCCTAATGCAAACTTGTTGCTCTTTATCAGGATCTAAAATTTCTCTCTCTCTCCCTAAAAGGCATGAAATGTAAAGTTTTATGTCTTCATTTAACCTGTGAATATCCCAATCAAGCCATGCTAACAAACATAATTTACCAATCAGCCTCTTCCATGCAGGAGCAGCACACAACGTGCCACGTATTCTGCAGGGCTCCCTTCAGCAGTAACACAAGCTCGTTATTTTAACTCTACGTCATGTTTCTATTTAGCATTTGACTACATATTCTTACACAATATAGCTTATCAGTTATAGCATACAACATCCCGTGACCCCTTAGTTCCGTGACAGCGCTGCAGGTAATGCCCTCCAAGCTGGACACGGCTGAACCTCCGGCTGGTTACTCCAAATGAACTCATGCCGTGCACCCCGGGGCTGGCTGGGATGGCGCTACTGCTCTTCCAGACCGCAGTACGGTGCTGGTGTGGATTTAGCACTAGAAGAGCGTTGATAACACACCACTGTTTTGGCTGTTACTGAGCAGTATTTGCACAGCACTAAGACTTTCTCTTTTGGCAACTACGTGCTGCAGTGCATAGGCTGGAGGTGTGCAGGAAGCTGGGAGGGGACAGAGCCAGGACAGCTGACCCCAGCGGATCAGGGGAAACATGTCATGCCATGCCACAACGTTCCATTCCATAACATTCCACATAAGAATGTGCTTGATTATGAAACTGGGTTTTGCAGTCTGAACATCTAGCCAACAGGCCTACAGACACCAGCATGTTTTCACTCACGTTATTAAATAGCCCACCACTAATTTACTGTTAGTGCAGGTTGGATTGGAACTCACCACAAACACTCAAGAGACACTAAACCCTGCTACTGCTTCAACTGGCTAGCTGTTCCAGCTTTTATCTACTTCTCAAAACCAGTAGACAGTTCTCAAAAATCCAAAACTAAGTACAGATCCAAGCCAAAAAAACAGAAAGAAAAACAAATCAATAAACAACTATACTTTTATATAACACAATTATTGCTCAGTCTTACACCTTTTTTGGTCAGTTCTTCAATTTTCTGGATATAACACCTCAATTCCTTCTGCAGCCGCCGCACTTCCTGCACAGTTGTATCTCCTCTTTTGGTTACATTTGGTTTGGGGTCCGGTCCGGCATCACGGGTAGGTGGAGAGTCCAAACCAGGCGGTATTAGCTTTCCCCCCGGCGGTGTGCAGAGATAAACTTTAGCGCCAGAGGCAGTCATCTCCACTTTGGAAGGCTGACCGCGTTTCTGCTGACAATTCAAGCGAGTTGGAGACTTCAGTGCGTTTTTATTTTCTGGACTTTCAGATACTTCAGTCGTCTGCTGTTGTAACTTCTGGGTCAACAATGGTTTATTGACAGCATCTCCAAACACCTGCTGTTTCACTTGCTCTTCAAGATGTCTTCGTTTTATGTCTCTTTTGGCTAGCTGAATAGCCAGCTTCAGTCTCTCCTCAGACACCGCTGAAAACATGCCAGAGCTTCTTATGCTGGGGTCCTCACTTCCAGCTACATTCCTCTGATCACGGGATGCCTTCAGTTTTTCTATTACAATTGGACGGGGGTTAGAGAATCTGAGAGCCAAGTTCTCTGGAACCGCAGGAACACTTCTGTTAAACTGGAGCTATCCCAAAGTGTAAAGAAAAGCTGGTGTTACACAGAACACTTTACACGGGTGACAACCCCTAGTGTACAATGCATCTTCTTCCATCACAGAACGCATTCTGTCACGACGGTACCTCTTCAATGCGTGCAAGGCATTCTGTCTACTCAGATAAATGCCAGTATTCCAAACTATTTTGAATTAAGCATTTCGATCATCTTGTAAATAACAGTAGGCACTTATCTGCAACTTAGGGCGGGTGCCCACATTGACATATCTGCTCCAAAGTGACTGGGCAGCAAACATGAATACCCTTATAATGATTTTTTTTAAGAGTTCTGACAATAAAACTAATGAGTTATGACAACAATATGATTTACAAAGGTAACAGAAGGAGAAATGATGAAGGAGATGCATGGTGAAGGAGAAATGGAAAATTGCAACATGGTACCAGAATAAAGTTTCTAGGTTCTGTTTCCATGTAAGGGGTTAAGACAGCATATTGGTTTAGACTGGGATAGAGTTATATTTCTTCACAGTAGCTTGTATGGGGCTGCGTTTTGGATTTGTGATGAAAACAATGTTACTGGCACACCAATGTTTTAGTTATTGCTGAGCAGTGCTTACACAGAGCCAAGGCTTTTTCTGCCTCTCACACCGCCCCAGCAGCGAGCAGACTGGGGGTGGGCGGGAAGGCGAGAGGGGACATAGCTGACCCCAACTGACCCAAGGGATATCCCATACCATACGATGCCACACTCAGCAATCACTGTTACACATGATGTAGGAATGGCTAAACACCTCCTGCTGATGGGACACAGTGAATGAATTTCTTATTTTGCTTTGCTTGTGTGCACAGCTTTCACTTTACCTATTAAACTGCCTTTATCTCAACCCATGAGGTTTCACACTTTTACCTTCTGATTCTCTTCCCCATCCCACTGGGGGAGAGCGAGCGAATGGCTGTAAGCTTAGCTGCCTACTGTGATTAAACCAAAACAGACAGGCAAGTAATATTTACAGATGTAGTTTCAGATCTATACCCTTACAAAAGACAGTGTCAAGCTTATGGATGACACCATCACGAAAGCAAGTATGAAGATCTGACACCTACCAGCAGGCTATCTCAGGAAGTGGGTCATAATCATCTCTTTGTAACGACCGCAAATGAAAACCAATTCAGCATGGCTGCAGCAATCAAGTAATACCTGTGTTTGGAAAGCCTTTGCTTCATCCCTGTACAGCTGGGTAGTGAATGCAAACGTAGCATCAGACACAGCTGGCTTACTCGGTCCCATCACATTGGCTTGATGTTGAAAATCCAGTTATTGGTCCTTTGCTTATAATTACAACTGTGAACATAAGAAGAATTATACATTATTTGTGCCTTTCAAATGTAATCCCAGGTCTGATGTTAATAGCAGATAGAGAACCAAGCTGAGGAGGGATGTAGAAATAGAAGATGTATCATGTGTAGTCAGACAGGTGGTACACAAAATGCAGAGTACAATCCCACCATTTAAGGCAATATTTGCAATTTATAGTCACCTTCTACACACTGCCACGGAGAGCTGAGGAGCACCATTGGAGACCATGAGGCTCACGCTATGAACCATAAAGGGACTGCTGCAGAACTTTAATAGCTATTGCCTACCTCCAAGGGAAACGGTACATTGAAACAGGACAAGAAAAGAGCCCAGCAGGAGAGCCTAAGGCAGTGCTCAAGGCAGCCGGGTGTGTAAAAAGCTTAGTGTGAAAGGCAAACAGATCCAGGGCATGCCTGACAGGCTGGGAGCTGGGCTTGTTCAGCCTGGAGAAGGGAAGGCTCCGGGGAGACCTTATAGCCCCTTCCAGTACCTGAAGGGGCTACAAGGAAGCTGGGGGGGGACTTTTCCCAAGGGCAGGGAGTGACAGGACAAGGGGTAATGGGTTTAAACTGAAAGTGGGGAGGTTTAGATTAGATATCAGGAAGAAATTCTTCCCGCAGAGGGCGGGGAGGCACTGGGACAGGTTGCCCAGAGAAGCTGTGGATGCCCCATCCCTGGAAGTGTCCAAGGCCAGGCTGGATGAGGCTTGGAGCAACCTGGTCTGGTGGAAGGTGTCCCTGCCCATGGCAGGGGATGGGACTGGGTGGTCTGTAAGGTCCCTTCCAGCCCAAACCGTTCGGTGAGTCTATTCTACGCTCCTATCTCAGTTTCTTCGCAGAGGATGTAAAATAACAGCAGTGCGTGGAGACTGACGGGTAATCTCCGTCTGCCTTTGAGAATCAAAACCCGAGCAGGATCCAACGCGTAAGGCTGCTAAACCTTTCCGTGGCGACTGACCTGCGGCCTTTGCGGCTGCTCCTCGGCCCAGCG